CTTTCCTGCCAAAACTTTCACAGGGCCGCACGTGACCTGAAAGCATACGTGGTGACTGGATTTGGAATCTTTAAGTTGTATGTGGGCTGGGAACATCACTCTAAAATTTGAGCCTCCCAGCTTTCCTGGTTTCTGAGTTAAGCATTTTCCAGCCAAAAAGTTTCACGGGGCCGTACGTGAAAACCGCTCATACTTGGGAGCTAGGTTTGATAACTTTAAGTTCTATATGGATTGTGAACATCTCTTTAAAATTTCAGCGTCCCAACTTCCTGGTTCCCGAGTTAGCCGTTTTTTCCCCAAAAAATTTCACGAGGCTGTACCTAGCATTCCTGTAAGTGTAATTTGATAACTTTAAGTTGTACATAGACTGGGAACGTCCTTTTAAAATATCAGCCTCCCAGCTTTCTTTTTTCCTAAGTTGGCCATTTTCCCGCTAAAAAATTTCACGGGACTGTGCGTGAGAACCACGCATGCTTGGGAACTGAATTCGATAAATTTTTTTTAAGTTATATATGTGCTGAGAACATTCCCTGAAAATTTCAGCCTCCCAGCTTCCCTGGTTCCCAAGTTAGCGATTTTCGCGTCTGGAACCCTCACGGGACTATATGCGGGAACCATGCAAACCCCGGGGGCTGAATTTAAAATCTTTGAGTTCTGTGTGGGCGGAGAACATGATCTCAAAATTTTAGCTTTCTAGCTTTCCTCGTTTCCGAGTTAGCAATTTTCCTGCCAAAACTTTCACCCTCTCGTACGCGGGGCCCAGACCTGCGTAACGGTTGGTACCGCGGTTCTGGGATGGCACGTGGCCGGGAACCCATTAGCAAAATTTTGGTGCCGGAGCTTGCTTGGTTGCCGAGTTGAATTTGCCGAGCAGACGAACACACACACACACACACATAGGGCCGTTGCAATATGCATTTTTGCAATTTGCGTATAAGCAAAAACGCATTAAAACTGATAATCGCGCACGCTGAAAGTCCGTGCGGCCTCACAACGCAATACCTTCACCTCAGTCGACATCCTTTCCCTCTGCTTGTGGGGAAGAGGCCAAAACACTACCAATGTGAATTCAAGTGTTTATAGCGCACAAACCATTCCTGTTGTTAGCATTCTGCAACTTGGTGCAAAAATGCATGAACTCACCTGCCAGCCTGGTGCGTTACAATCTGGGTTCATGTGTTTTGAATACGTGCTGCTAGCACTTTTCCAGTACTGTCTTATTCATAGATTCTCTGTCTTCCGCGGCGCCAATTCCCGGCGTCAAGTTCACCGCGTTCAATGTCGCCAGCCCCATCGGATTCTGTGTCGCAAGCAAATTCGTTGCATCGCGGCGACTCCGTACATACCAGACGCAAAGATTCCTCCGCTTCTTACAGCACAATGGCGCTCAAAACGGTAACTTTGTGATTTTTGTTTTGAAATTCTCTAGCACGGAACACATTTAGAGATAAAGGGCAGAAATGGTAAATATTGTATCATATAATAATTTTGTTTATTGCTTGTATGCTTGTTAAGAGCCAAAGCAGGCAGCTGACTCCTCAAGCAGCGACAAGGCCAATTTTCAATCAGTCATCGCAGGAAATCTCGGACGATGAGGAGGATTTTGCATCTAACGAGCAAAGTACCCCAGCGCATACTGCAGCTGATTCGGCTGCCAAAATAAGCAAAGAAGAAGAGGAAAGACTGAAGTAAGATTTTGATTTAACACGATCGCATAGTCGCAGAATCTAATTCCAACAACTCATCGTCATGTGGGATTACGACCGAGCTGCAGTGCTGAAGCATAGCACTGACTAGAACTCGGCTTCTCGTATCCGGCCAAAACCGCGTTTCATCTAACTAAGCTTAAGCACAAGCTACGACCGTCATGACTCTATGGAAAAGCGTCATGCAGCGAAGTAAAAAAAAAAAACGTATAGCGCACAAAAAATGGTTCAGGTAATTTATGCTCCCTGTCAACTCACCTACTCTTCGGATGGGTCGAAAG